TAATAAATCAACTAACGGTATTCTCTACATAAAATACGCAACACATCAACGAGGAATGGCTGTTTTCCCAGGAATTCTTTCATGATTTAATTAAAAATGAAATAACTACGATAAAAATATCTCAACATTCCTCCCAGCATCATTATTAAATGACATTTAATGACATTTTCTAATTAAAAATCACTCGATTCTTGGCTTTTTACGTTCTCTCGAGGTCCAAAACGGTAAAAAAATGTCAAGTGTAATATCCACAGCACTGTTGACAATTAATCACTCCCGCATTTCTGTTTTCTGAACAAATACCTGAGAAATTAGCGTCGCCGCACTGCGCCGCTTCGCAAATATACTTACCAATTACCGCTAATGTGACATTCTGAGACGGGAGGCTTTATCACGCCTGATGAGGAGCATCATTATCTTTTCCATTTGTCTAAGTAACTCGGCGCGTGTGCCTTTGAATAAATGTCTTAATTCACTATATCACAGGCTGCGCGTAGTAAATACGTCTCTGGAAGATTTGACAGAATATTCCAGATTTATGGCGACAAACATTTACTTTTTTTTCCTCCTTATTATGAAATGTAAAATGTCCCTCAATTACAGACTCAGCCAACTGGATGCCGATCTGCGCCGCCTTAATCCATCGAAGCCCTCGAACGCCTCGAAGGAAAATGAAGAGCCGAGACATGTAAGCCCATCCAGTGAGGCTGGAATAAATCAGGAGAAAATTCAAACGGGGCTCGCCATTATCTGTCATTCCTGCTTCCACTGTCACGCAAAGAGCATATAATTATTAGCCGCGAAGAAAAGGAGCTGATAATGTTGGAGCCATTTTAAGGTAGGAGTCGATTTGATTTGAAAGGTTTAGTTGATGTTCCTCATCATTCATGACAGTAATTATCGGGCCTCTGCTCGCTGTCATTACCCCAAGGATGAAGATTATTACTTACAGCAAAGAAATATATATTTTTCAAGCGACATCAGTCTGAAAAATAGTCAAATGTGGGGTACAATTTCTCCCAATAAGTACCTGTACTGGAGCTTCTTTATGTGATCTGTATCTTCAAGGGGATTTTGCCCAGTTGTCAGCATACTGTAGCTATTCAAATTAGCATTTTAAGGACTCCTCATTATAGTTTGTTCATTTGACAGCGAGTTTAAATTGATTTTGTGGCGAAATCGTCTCCTCAGCTGCTTTTCAAGGTCAGGAATAATGGTTTGGTTTCAGCTTTTAACCCAAATTGGTGAAAAAAGGCTTAACAATTGGGTTTTTTAAGATCAGATTAGGGCTAATCAAGGCAATTTTTAACTGATCGGTGTCACTGTGAACCTCAGCCTGATTGTTTGTTTACGTCTGCTGCCACACAGAGGTTGTAAATTTGAATAATTTTTCTCATAAACGCAGAATTTACAATCAATATTATAACATCGGTTGATTCCAGTTTGATTCAACACAGACTGGCGGTCACTGAGCATCACAGAAGACTTTGTCATGATGTCCCTTTACTAGATTAAAAATAATGTCAAGAACAATGTTTACATTTTCAGCCAATGTGGAAGAGAAATCCCTCAAAATTGCAAGTAAATCCAACAACTGTACTGTTATACTGTGCTCAGTTTTTCTCAGAAGTCGCAGTTGACCGTGTTCCAGTGCGACAAGTTGGAAAACCAAGGTTCTGCTGGCATACCAGTTGATAACTTCACATTACGCAGTATTTTGCGCATACAAACACTACAAACACATCAACATGTCAACAAATGGATAGAATTCAGAATTTTTTTAATATTTGTAAAATATTTAACTTTGAATTAATGTTTTCTTACGATTTGTGGCATTTAAACTGTGTCATAAAACAGAGAAGACATGTCTGAGTTCTCTCTCCTTGGATTCGTGGTTGTTCTGTTTCCATAGAGGTGCAGGACTTTATATTGCAGTGAGCCAACAGTGAGGGAAAAATGGGGCAAAATAGAGGCAAAATTACCCACAAACAGCTTGGGGCCCAAAGGGTTAAAAAAAAAAATAAAGAAAGAAAAAGTGGAGGTTTGACTGACTGGTGGTGTAGCTCGGTGGAGATCAGGCCTACCTGACCGGAGGCTTGACCCTCTGCTCTCGGGCTTCTCGACAACGAGGCTCGGGGCTCCGATCGCACCACGTTCTGGTTGCTGTAATAACTAACGCTGCTGTCCTGGTAGCCGCTGTCCGAATACGAGGTCATCTGGGCCGAGTGACCCCCGGAGCCTGCGACGAAACAAAGATAAGAGGCCTCAGTGCTTCCCGTGAACAGATTAAGCCGGTCTGCGGCGCTCAAACTGCAGCCTCCATCACATCAGTCACTGCGGTTTAATGATTTGCATATTATCTCAGCTGGCTTTCAACTTGTTAAAAGGCATTATGCATATAAATACATACACATGGATATCTGCATTAAGCCTCGATGCTGTTCTTGGAACAATCTGCTGGCCTACTTTCTCCTGCAGGACGAGGAGGAGGAAGCATGTGGGGGATATTTTTATACTCTCAGACCACTCCAACAGTATGTAAAATAAATAAGACCAAAGGCAAATTTGTTTTTAACATTTCAAACCACTGCTCAGACGTGAAATATTTACTAATGCTGTTAAAATTAACTGCGAGCAGAGGGAGGTTTCTGCAGAGTAAAACACATGCACACATAAGAATTCACAGCTGCACCGCTGCTCCGCTCTATCAGCCGCCCATCTTTTGTGGTTTAACGGAAGCTTCGGCGGAGCTTGATGGACCGAAATGTCAAACGCTCCAGTGAAGATGCCTAATGTCCGACAGCGACAGGCTGTGGTTGTAATGCGGAGCTCCCAGGTGTGAAGACATGCGAAACTTTTCTGACAAGACGGCTAAAAATAAAGAGTGAAAGTCAGACGGCAGATCGGAGGCGGACTTTGTGTTCCGCGCGACCTTAACTGATCTGAATAGATGTTTTGTTAAGTAAGCATAAATGAGAGCGGCTGCCAGGGGAAACAAGCACTTCAGCCTCCTACAGTTTGGTAATTACAAGTGGGACCTGTGGGATTTGTTATGCAGGCTCGGATTGCTCCCACATGGGTTCAGAAATTGTGGATGTGTGTTGCTATGGGCAGCAACCATGGCAACGATCATTTTGTCGGTCAATTTGTGAGGATTTTTGTGTCAGCTGGTGGAATATCTGCCTCCGCTGTTGCTGAAAAACTATTAAAAACACACACTGCAAACGCCGCCTCAGAACTACACACTTAAGTACCCAATGTGTAATAATCCACTGCTGACAATAGTCCCAGATGAAAACACCATCACCCAGTGTTTGAGTAAATTTTGCTGGAAGAGTCCAAATAACTCAGAGCCCAGTTTATTTCTGCAGGCCTCAACCTGAGGACGGCCTCGACACAACGAAGGATTTAACTGCAGCTTGTGTATCCTGCTGCTGTCTGACACTCCAGGTGTTTAATACATAAAGGAAATAGTTCCAAACAGCTGGAAGCAACAAACTAAAATTTTGTGTAAGAAATCTCACCTGTCTGATCTGAAGGCGAGTCGGCCTACGCTGTGGCCTGGACTGATCAGCCCTCCATGTTCTCTCTGGGATCATTTATGATCATAAGAACTTAATTAAATCACTGGAGCTGTAATTGATCCACATGTGCGGATGTGTGTAACTCTTTCTCCTCGGAGATCCTGAAGCTGCAGGTATTAAATGAACTCAGAGGAAATATTCCTCAACAAGTTTTAGTTCCTGGTGACGTCTTGCATTGAAAAAAAGGTTGATTTTTACGGACATTTCCTTTGGTACCTTCGTAGATTTGAAATTCTAGAGAAAAATCAGCGGATAATATATGTTGTAATTCTGGTAAACTGTGGCACTTTGTGTTGCTGGCATTCCTAAATCACTTCACAAAACCCCAACCACCATTGTTTGCGTGTGCTGATCCGTTCAGACTTGTGTCAAAGCGATATGGAAATGTTAGTCGGTTCGATTGACAGGCAACTTTAATAAAAAGTTGACGCCAGATTAAGGGAACGGGGCTCATGTTTGAAATAGTGCCAAAACCACTTCCTGAAAGCGAAACAACAACGCAAACCGATTTCAAGAACGCATCCGACTCTGTCTACAAGTAACGGACAATCAGCAGCCGAGCAGACAACATAAAACGCTGGGTTTTTTTTCTCCAGATTCTAATTTCTGCATCGTGAACTTCAGCACCCACTGTTCGAACCGTGTGCTGTGTACATTTAACAGACCCTCACTGTCATGCAGGGAGGCCCGGTCCGGCTCAGGCAGGTAGAGTCCGTCCTCAGCCTCCAGGTGACGACCAGGACATCCGGACGCCTCCATGGCTCCGCCCTGAGACTCTCCACCTGCCACACATTAACGTGTACATTCAGGACTGAAAAGTTATAATACAAAAGAAAAAGTAGGTGTGGCAGCGTCAAATCAGCAGCAGCATCTCTGCAGGCGGGACCTTCTCGGCATCAATTCTTTTATCACAGGAGTTTTGTTTTGCTGGAAAGACGACAGTGACGAATGGGACAGAAATGTGAGGAGAGGGATCTGTGACAGAATAGTAAATGGATCCAATTCGCGGCCCATATATACCGGCGGAAACATTGTTTTGTTTTGCTTCACTGTCTGGTGCTGCATTCTGGCAATTTTCAGCCCTCTGGAGCCTGTAATGGCTCTCTCATCTGGAAAAAATGGTCCCTTTAGTGACAAAATCATATGGATTCATCTCATCTGAAGCTACAGTTTTGACCACAGGCGTTACCGGAGCAGTTTACTCTCACGGAAACTACACGGTAACACTCTAACAGTAACGCTCCTCGGATCTCTCTGCAACGATTTTACAACAAAACAAGAAATCGTACCTGCAGATCTCCATGCAAACGACTTCTCCGATGAGCTTCGGCAGCAGGGAGGAGGAGGAGGAGGAGGAAATGGAGGAGACGAGAGAGCAGAGAGAGACGTAAATCAAATCAGAGTCACAGTCGAATACTTTACATTCAATCAGAACAGCGAGAAGATGGAAGACGGTGTTTAAAATCTAAAAGAAAAAACTAAACGGGGGGAGTCATCCCGCCTCAAAAACACATTCAATCTGCAAGGAAATTGGAGAGAATGAAGCTCCTGACAGTGCTGCGTGAGTTCGATTTACTTTTTAGATTGATGAAATCAGCTGACCCCAGCTGAGACGTGTTATTTTTATCTGCGCTGAGAAAACACCTGCAGCTGGAAAAAACATCATTTCTGCGACAAAAAACACTTTAAACTGCACAGAAAAACACAATCTGGCCAAAGTCAAAGCTTTATGCAGGTTATTGGACGTTGTGATGTTAACTATTAAGAATATTTTACGATTTGGGGAACAATCTTGCAACTTAAACCAACATCTTGACTTATTTTTGGTGCATCTGAAGCCCGTCTTCAGTCTAAATTCAGTGGTTCTGTCGATTTGACGTTTGTGTTCAGAGTGATGTATGCTGGCTGTGACAGCACAATGTGACTGCCAGCCGGCTGAACATCAATCCTCATGAAGACAAATATCACTATTATGCGTTTTGTCAGAGCGCCCTGCCACCGTGCATGATGTACAGCCAACTGCAATCCATATTACAGTTAAAGTTGTTTTGTGATCAAGACCAAAAGATCCAATGAATCCAAGAAGAAATTGGTCTGACATGATTAATTAAGTTGAACGGGAAACTCAAAGCTGGTGTCGCAATCAACAAAATCGAGCAATTAGGCTTCAAAAACAAAATAAATAGTTACAATTTTATACACGTTTGCACCAGATAAATAAACAGCATGACAGGACTAAAATTAAGTTTGCATATTTCACGTGTTAGAAATCACCTCATCACTCCTGTTGCTGCTTAAAAAACTGCATCTGGATCGTAAAGTTTGGCTCCCAGTTGAACCTTTGCTCTTACTTACTGCTGCTACACCCGTCAAGCTGTCAAACACTGCGCTGCATTTGTGACAGAGGTAGATGAAAACGGGCCTTTTATTTCAAACCCAACGGCTGGCAGGTTTAACGCTGAAATGACACCTGTTCCTCGCAAATTTAATTACCTGTCAGCAGCTTCTTGAGCTAACGTTAGCTCCGTGTCGGATGAAAATGCTATTTCTGGCTGACTAAGGACGAGTTTTACCCATAAAGTTATCTTTACATGACGTTATGATAAAAGACTTTGACTAAAGCACATCAATAAAGCAATAATTAAAGGCTTTTAATGTGAGAACTGACACATGTAGCAGCTGTACAGAACAAGTTTAGCTCTGGATTTTCTAAGTCACAATGCTGCACATCTTAACTGTTACGGAACAGTTTACATTTGACATAACAGAGCCAAATAATGCCGACTAACCAATCAATTCTGTGGGAAAAATGGCACCACCGTTCCTGGAAGATCCCGTGAACCCTTGCTTTATTTTTATTCCTGTTAGCCGCAAAGCAGTTAAGCGAACAAGCTACAATAACGCAGAAACAGCAACGCAAAAGCCTTGCAGTTGTTGACCTTATGTGACGTCGTCGTGTCCTCTTCTGCACATGCGGGACACTTTTGAGTCGTATGAAGTTCACACAGCAGATCACATACAAGTCGCATTTAATTGGAAATGTGAACGACCTCGGAAAAAAATCTGAATTGAGCATTAAGTCCTGCAGTCTGAACGTACGTAGTGCAAATGGCGGTTGACAGGTGGAGTGTTACGAGTGTTGCAGGAGCACTGGGAGCAGAGTATCGTTGCACAAGGAGACTACTTTAACAGGGATGATAACCAAATGTTTAAAAAGTTCATTATTTTTCTTTTAACTTTTT